GGAAACCGAGTATGCCTTCATCAATGTAGAATAATCCGGGTATATCCCATCACCAAGGTAGTAACCGTATTTGTATGCGTGCCCGTTCACCGTGAACGTCATATCAGGTGCTTTGCCGGTCCAAATATCGTTGAAAAGTAGAGACTGGCCAAGAACATTAAGGTCGTTGTTAGACCCCGCTACTCCAAAAAAGGCATGCCATATCCACAAATCTTGAGATGCAACAGCTTCTAGGATGATAGTTGGTTCACCTATATCTCCTTGAGTGAACTGACCACGCCATGCATTTGGACATTTTCCCCAAGCCACATGCGTACAATCTAGACTGCCAAGTATACATGGAAATCCATGCCTCTCTTCATGAGCCGAATAGAATCTCTCAATATCACGTTGAGTAGGTTTCCGCAAATATTGTTCGTGAAAAACCTCATACACACATGCAGAAAACCAATCTACACATTCAACTGCGGTCCTCTCGGATACTTTCAAGTATTCGTCAGATGCATCAAATGATATACCGTATCCCAAATACCTAAGAGCAACCGCATATTTTTGTATACTACTAAAACCCATTCTTCCTCTAGCGTCGGGTTTTTGTTTGAAAAAATCATAACGATATTCTAAAGCATTACTAATACGTAAAAATATAGCCTTATTCAGACGGAAACGACGTTCGAACGAGTCGTCATTATAAAGACAATTATCGGCAAAATAATCACGTACCAATAAGTTGTGTGCGGCTTGGCGATCACGATTGACGACCGCCCTTGTACGAGCAGCATTCGAACTTTCTTCGTCGTGAACGTGTTGCACAACGTTCGAGAATGTCTCGACGAATTCTACGTCGTCATCTGAGTAAAAAGTTTTTAAAAATTTCATATGTTTTGTGGAATCCATGCGTAGGTGTTTTGTAGTTTTAGAGAATGAAAGTTTTGTGAGAGAATGAAGGTGTGTTTTGGTGAAAATAGAAGGTTTATTTATTTGTGTATTGAATTGAGTTTGAAAAAAAAGGGCCAAATGACCGTTCAACGGTCAACAAATCAATAACCAATCGTCGATTCCGTTTACATTCGTCGTCGGGAACACGAAGAACAACGACCATGCCCGACCACGGAATGTCGGGGTGGTGTGCACGAAGTTTTCTCGTGGCCACCTGGACCACGACTCGTTTCGTGGTATGTATACCACAAGGCCTTAGGCGCATAATAATTGATGAGTTTTTCGTCCAATCAAACCATTTGGACTCTTACAATTTTCAAATGGGATTCATCCATTTTATGACGTCTATTAATCTATATCTATATTATCGTAATATTTGTTACTATTGAAATCTGGGGGACTTTACACATACGTTAATAATTGACGTTTTTAATAGTTATGAAAAATAAAATAAAAGTAAGAGTTCGGATAAGACGAATACGATCGCGTCGGGTTATAACACAAGTTTCATTATTTTTGTATGGAACCCATTTAGATATCTTTGCGAATCAGCAACAGTGATCGAGAATTCAGGACCCATCCCACAATATGACAATATGGTATAAATAATAATTTCTAATATGCAACTGAAAATAAAAGATTATATATAATAATGAGTTTTAAATGTTTAGATAACATGATTTCATAAACATTTATTGAATTAAAATAAAAGTTTTTGACAAATTAATCTTTCCTTTTTATTCATTTATTTAAGAAATTTTTGATAAGTTATTTACTTATTACTAATATACATAATATGTCAAACACTAAAAAATACATTATCAATGTTTTGGTATGGAAGAAATTAATTTAAACAATTTTTTAATATCTTTTTTGACGGCGGATAAACTAATAAGTTGTGTTACTAAAAAAGATATAAGTTGTTTTAAATAAGCAACATCAAGACAAATTGATTTCCCGTTCACAATGAGTATTAAAAAAGATTTGAATCAAAATTTAAAAAAAATTAAAACTAAAAAATGAACCAAGTATGATTAGTTCTTGTTTGGTCCGGTTTTAGTTGGGTTTTTAATTTAATCAATTTTTGGGCACGATATGATTTTAGAGACAAACCCAAGAGGCCAAGAGTACTCATGTAAAATTATTTAGGTATTTCTATAATAGAGTAAAAGAAATAAGCTTGTTTAGGTTCTATATTTTGTGGTTTTCTTATTAGAAAAATTTTTATATTGATAATTTTTTTTCTATACACAATAATTTATGTTTTAAAAATTATACAATATAATACTTTAATGCATAAACCGTAGTGTGATTTTTCTTTTTGTACAAATCATTTTCCTTGTTAAAATGTGAATGATAATAACTCAAGATCCTTTAGACTTTGCATGTTAAGGCTTTACTAAAACTCTAGCCGCCATATCATGACTTTGTTGCCTAAAAGAGAACCCTGATTTGTTATTGAATTTAACCAAAAGATTAATGTCTAATTTGGCTGACTACACCAATTTGAAGTGAAATTCGGTTAAATCAGGTGAGAATGAGTAACATCACAATTAATGGTGGAGCTAGGTTCAAAGCAAAGGGGTATCAGTTTAGACCTAAAACAAAGAATTTGTAAGGAACGTGAATTGATCCGAAGACATTTGTTTCAATAAGCCAACACCTTAACCAATAGATTAACTGTTTGTTTGTGTTTATAATTGAAGGGATGCGTATATATACACTACATAAAACAAAATTTGTCAAAAGAATTACACTACCGAATTTTTTTTTAGAGATATCCCAGACTACCACAGGATAATTATAGTCTGGAATTTTTTTATTTAATAATTGATTTTCTTTTTGTTGAATTAATTACTGAAACTTTGATTTTATTTGTTCGTTTGTTTTTTTTTAAAGACCACTTTAACCTTATAAAACTTTGATTTTGTTTTTCTTTAAAACACCACTTTAACCTTTTATAAAAGGTTTGCCGATAACCATCAAACGTTTGAATTGCATATAAACCACCGTACTTTATATTTCTTCTAGTTTAAAACCCTAAATACATATATATTTTTTCTAATTTAATCGTTGAAAGATTTTTTTTGTTTTTTTGTTTTTTTGTTTTTTTTTTTGAATATTCTGTTTAGCTATTTTTAATAATTTCAATTATTTTACTATATCATTTTTCTTGAACTGGATATTGAATGAGACATGGTTTTAAGAAAATATCATTTTTATTCATAATACCATCAGGGGTATAGTATGAGTATCTATACATGAATGGACATTTAGGTGGTGTTTGTTTTTTGTCTGCAGATCTGCGTGGCCTCTTCTGTCTGCGCCGCGCAGATCACGCGCAGACATTAGCTTTCGCAGACTGTTTGTTTTTTTGAAGACTGCAGACCTAAAAATGTCTGCGCGCCCTGTTCTTGGCGCAGATGTGGACCAGAGTCTTCTAACATCTTCAGACATCTTCTAGATTAAAAAAACACATATATCTATATTTTTTTAAGTTTTTTTTTTAATTTATATTTTTTCCAACTTTATTAATG